TATTATTTTGCCAATAACGTCTATGTTCCTTTGTGATTTTGAATCTTTCCCTTTTCCAAATGTCCTGGGCAAAATTGGGGTGCCCCAAGTTAAAGCCAAATATTTTACCTTACAACTGAAAATTTTGTTCAACTAAAAAACTGAAATATACATACATCTGTTTATTTTTATCTAAAATGTGTGTGTGCATGTGTATACTGAAGACAAAAATATAGCTTATTTTGTTTCTCATTGCTATCCTCCCTCCTCAGTATCTGATGTGTATTTAGGACATTGATCAGATCTAGTTACAATTTCGTGTAGAGCTTCACTCAATAAATACATGCAGGAGCAAAGGAGCTTGTTTTGAAGTAGCATTGTGAAACTGGGCACAAGATGAAGCCAAGAGCTTAAAACAGTACCGATACTTCTTGGATGAGGCCTGCTTGAACAAGCACCTTTGGAAGAGAAAGGAAATCTATAAGGCACACATGTAAAGACCTTTCTATCTAGAAATGAAAAATTTGATCAACTTAAAGCAACAAAACCCTGACCCATTAATCTATGGTCAGTAACATGCATCTGGTACAGATAATCATAGTGAACAGAGAAATGCACAAACTTAATGCTCTGAGCTTTCTGAAAAAGGCAGATGAAGACCCTTGTGAAAGTTTGAGGCTTGTCACAGCCTAATGTACCAAAAAATTACAAGAAATCCTCCCAGCCAGGCAGGTGCTACCATCTCTGCTCCCTGTCAGGCTCCTGGCATCTTTCTCTAAAGCAGCTGGACCTAAATTTATTGGCAGGAAAACACTACAGTAAATAGATGACTTCTCGCATGCAGTATCATATTAGACACTGCTTAAGCTATTGTGTATATTCCGGCTAGCCATTTAGTTCTGCAAGCTTTTCTTCACAGGCATAGAAAAATACCCCATGATAGGCACATCCACTCTCTTGTACCACAGCTAAGCGCATCAGAGCTATTGCTCCTTGTTTGGTGTTGTATCAAAGGATTATGTGGGGTTTTGTGCTATTAATCAACATAATAGACTCTGGGAGGGCAGTAGATAATTTATGTACCCTTTCTGTCAATGCAGACAATGAACGTTGCTGTTGTGCGGCTGAAGGGCTCTTCCATGCATTCAGTTCAGTCCCACAAAGTCATCAGGACTTTGCTGTGAGCAAATGAAACACAGCAGGGGAAGAGTTTGGCAACAAGTGACCATTGATAGGTGGATCTGGGGTAACCCAGGCAACAAGAACACCAACAAAAACTGTTGCATTGTCCCCAGGAACACAAACTAACTACTTATTAAAAAAAAAAGGCTCCCAGTTCAGACCAGTTGATGGTCCACACACCAGATCCAGCCCACCCAATAACTCCATCTAACACCTTGCCGTTCTGCTGTGGCCTCCAAGTGAGATAGCATGTTTCAGAGGCCTCTGTTGAAGACTGTTAGCAAAACCTCCAGGCACACAGACCTGTGACAAAGCCCTGGAGGTGACCCAAAATAGTTACTCAAACTTGAGCAAGCAATACCCAGCTAATTTTTGATCTAAGCAATATTTTAGAAGCAGTGTTCTACACATCCTGCACTTGGTTAAAATCACCCAGTGAAAGGAGGAAAAACATCTGCCCTGTCGCATCATCTGCTGCAACCCAGACTGGAGCCAAATGAGAACCAGGACTGTGCAAGCATTCAGCCATGCTTTATTGCAGTCCCCACTGTGCTCAGTGTTAAAGGCCATACCATTTCAGTGAGTAATCAATACATTAATATAGCCAGTAAATGGCAAGGAGAGTTCATATTTATCTTGTTACTCCAAGACTGTCCATAAAGCTGAGTTCGCAAGCCTGTAAAGAAGCCTGCATTACCCCTATGACTGGAATGGAATTCTTCTTTGGCTCCCCATTGGGCTGGCCACAGAGAGAACAGGAAAAGATGGTAACAGAGTAAATAAAAGTAAACTGGGATAAAGCCAAGAGTAAGGCCTACAAATCTAGCAGAGCAATCTCTGCTCATAAGTATGACCTACCAAGAGGACACACTGAACAGCCTTTAGCCCAACAGAGAAGGACCGATAAATTCTCAGTATAAAAGTACCATGATGTTCTCACAGGCAAAAAACATCTAAATTGACATCTGTTTTGCTTGCAGGAAAGTAGTGGAAGTTTCAGCACCAATATATTAATCTAGACATTGCTGTTTCAAGAGCCAGTGATTATTTGGAATGTCAGTGTGAGCCATTTGTTCCCCACTGCTTCAGAGTTAGGAATCCAAAGACAGCAGTTTGCCTGTTGCTGAAGTTTAGCCAACAAGATAGTTTTGCTGGGATGGTAGCTGTAAACTTAGGGAGGTGATGTGGACATGAAGGATATTTTCTGATGATGAAACAGATTAGAATCATTGACAATAAGAAAGAAAATATAAAGGTTGATGGGCGGGAAGAGAAAGTGAAAGAAAAAGAAAAGAGAAAAAAGAGAAAGCAAGAAAATGAAAAAGAAAAAAGATATGACTGGTACCACACAGAAATTCACTGCAGGGCCTGTGGCAGGATGCTATAGGGAGAATTAAAATGTGATGTGCGAGATAGGTAGACTCAGTATATTTATCAAAAAACCTGCCTTTCTTAGCCCTTGTTTTTGTGAAGAGTAATGGTACAACACCAACAACCTCTTTACTCCCCCTCAGCATTTCCCAGAGGTCACCAAGAGCCAAACTGAACTTCAAAATCAGTAACTGTCCAGTGTGTGGCTCCACAGACCTGTTGCAAAATATCCATCATGACTTCATGGACCACAGAGCTCAGATAATAGTTTAGGAGCTCTTGCAGCATATCCTTCTGGCAAAGCATAGTGCACCAGAGACAGATTGGACCTCTATGCAAACAACTTATCTCCAAACCCTATGAACTACTGGAACAAGACAGCAATTTGTATCTGCATCAGGGCTTTTTGCCAGTGTAGCTCTGTAAGTCAGATGCCACCAAGAGATGGGCCAGGAAAGCTTCACAGCAATCCAAGCCTGGACAGAGTAAACTTCAATTTGACTTTTAAGTCTGTAAAACTCCGAAGACCTGAGCTCATCTTTGTAAGGAGGACCCAGATCAGTTTGCCTGTGCTCAGGGTTAGCCAGCATGAGAGGCAGAGCTGCATAACTGTGTCAGTACTGACATATGGCGAATGTCTCTTCATATTTGTCAGACACTTTAGATCACCTGCACCTCCATGCACCCCATGGCCACACAGCTGTCCTATGAGCATCCCACTTTGCATGGCAAACACACTACAGCTGGAAAACTGCCTTCAGCTGAAGGGTATAACTTCCAACAGTTGGTCCTCAAGCAGAGTAAAGTCAGGTTGAAGGAAGGTGTTGGGGCATCTGGACTGTCTCCTGTCTGAGTTGGTACCTATGTCCCCACCGTGGTAATTCTCTCCTGGGCTTCCCTGTCCATCCATGGACATCCATGCTGAACAGCTAGCCCTGTTTTGAGTTTCCCTAGGAGCGGCACTGTGTACAAGCTACCTCCTGAAATGAGGAGCAGGATGAGTGCTCTCAGCCCCTTTCCCATCTCCTCTTGCCCCATCACATCACAAGGCAGTCCCAGCAGTGGGTGAGTGCAGCCCATCCTGCTCTCATCAGCAAGTCTGGTCCTTGCTGAGCCTCTGTACTTTCAGGATGTCAATTTTGTTCTGTTTATATGCTAGCAAAATTTCTATGTTGCTTTGCAAGCAAGAGAAGCTGCTGAATAATCAGTCTGTCCAGCCACACTGACAGAGACTTCAGGTCTAAGAGATTTCAAGCAGAATGCTGCTCCCCGGTGCAGGAGCTATTAACTTCCATGAACTGTAGTGCTTTTCTCCCACAAAAGCCTCACCACCTTATGAAAAAATCAGCAAGAACCTGTGTGATGTTTTCAAGCCTCCTCTATTAATCTTTCCCAGCTCTCATTAATTGCAGGTTGTGATCAGCCAGTAAGCACCAGTCTTAACCCTCCCCTACTCCAGCCGTAGCTCTATGTTCATTACAGCTGTTTGCCTTCACTCTTACAAAAAGCAATAGTCCATGGGCTGCAAGAATACCATTATTATGAGCAACCTTCCTGGTGAATGTATAAATCTTCCTGTTGACTAATGGGTTGCCCCCTTTCCCCCTTTCTTTCCAGCTGAGTAGTAATGATTTAAGCAGATTAACTGGTTAACTAAAAGTTGCTAACACAGATCATATCCTTTACACAAAATAACTGTAATAGTGGGGTTCATCCAAAGGTAATGAGAAAACATTTTCATCAATGCCAATGGGCTCAAACCAAAGTTCAAAGTGAATTCTAGGAAAGGCATAGACATGCTGAGTGTGATCAATAAACAAAGCCATGTTTTCCTTCATTTGCAACAGAATCTGCCCCCAAGATTCCTGAAAATATTGGTCCTCCTCTTCCTCCTTGCCCTTTGAAGCATTCACCACAGAGCCCCACGTTAAGTGCTGCCGCTTTCCCTGCAGTTGCATGACACAGGACAGCTTGCCCAAAGAGGCAGCATATCTCTACTGAGACCCACCAAACATCAACGGCTGCTGAATCCTTCATCACTGCACAGACTGGAATAAATAAAACCACCATAAACCCCTCTCAATGATCTGTGACAAACCTACCCTAGTGCTCATGGTGAGGAGGTAGGAATTCTGTGTTTTCAGGTCCTAGCACTTCATGGAGCTCAGCTGGTGGCTGCAGAGACAAGCAAAAGTCCCCCAGTCTGGGTGCCTGATAGTAGCAGTGTGTGCAGCTCATTGCTCTTGGGTTTCTGTAGAGAAATAAGAGATTGGCATAAAGGATTTGCTTTTATTATGACTTCAGATTGCCTTCAATTTGGGTTGAATAGATGTGCTTGGTTTAGTATGCACACTGTAAGACACGTGCTAATGTGCCTAGCACAAGGGGCTATTGGCATTTTATGATTAAAACACAGGAAAATGAGGCCACTGGCTTGTGCATAAACATCTCTTGTCTCTCTCTTGCAGTAACTGTGACTGTGGGAGGACAACAACACTTGCTGGGACTTTATGACACTGCAGGGCAGGTAAATTAGTGCAAAACATTTATCATTTTCCTTTCCCATGTTTGTTTGTTATTACCATATACTAGCATTTGTTGTTCATGCTGTTTCTGTTTGGGGTTTTTTACAAATACTAACAAAAAGTTGTGAGTTACAATGGCTGAACTGCTGACTTTCTCCTTTCTGTTTTATACACTGAGCTTTCGTTCTAGTTCAGCAATAAAACACACACAAATGCACTCATTCCTAAGACTGAATTTTGTCTAAGCAAAGAAAACTAAAGCCTGATTAGGCTGGTCAGCCTCCTATATATCCAACTTTTACTGCAAATATGACCTTTCATATATAGTCAATGTTTTCTTACATTTACCACATGGTGGCATTGAAGATACAGAGAATTCCCGTTTCCAAGCTCAGAAACCTAATACAATACAGTACCATCCTATTGGACACCACCTATGGACTTTTTTGACCCAGCCAGATTGGCATCCATCCCAACATCTTCCTTCAAGGACAAGGGTGTCCATTACATTACATTAGATATATAATTTTTTCACTGTTTTCACTGTCCACAGTCTGATACAGCGCGCTTGCGCTAAAGGTTTGCAGAATGACTCTGGTCTGTGGGCTCATTTCATCCCCCTGGAGAGGAAGAGAGCGTTTCTCACCACCTTGCTCTGCTAGTAGAAGGGCAGAAGAGGGTACAGGGAGCAACATATTTTCATGGTGAAACTTTCCTCTCCTATCTCCAAATGCTAGCAACTGACAGAGTAAAGAAACAACCACAGCCTGCACAGAAACCTTGCAGAAAATCACCTACAGAGAATTGAGGGAGTAGGTCCCAGGTCCCAGCTCGTCCCAGCCTGGGAAGGTTGGAACCCACACCCGCCAGCTCCTCCGGTCACAGCTGGAACTGGAGGCACCAGGAGAGGAAAGCAGATCTGGGAGCCTGCTTCACACCCTGGGACCCAGGAGCCCTGGTTGCGGAGCTTTGTTTTCAGGAGCACTTCTTCAGTTCTTGGCTGTGCTTTTTTTGGCCATAACTGACTGCTATGAAATGCATAAACAATGCAGAAGGAGACCCTCCTGTCTCAGAAGGCCACGTACTACAGAAAATACTTTGCAGCAGGATGCAGAGGTCAAAAACCCCATCAGGACAAACTGTCACTTCCAGAAAAACCTGCACTCAGCAGGACTGGGGTTTTTATGCTTTGAGTATCACTTTTTTTTTTTTTTATTCCTTTTATTCCATGTGTGTAGGCAGCAGTGGTCACTTCATAGCTAGCTTGGTGTCACTTACCATCCACCCATCCTTTCTATTCACATGATGGAAACAGTTGATTCAAAACTAGATCCACAATATGATGCAAATCACCTATGCCATATTCAATTTTGTATTCTGCACTCATAAACGCAGAGCCTGGAGTGTCTGTCATGATCCAGCAGCATGGCAAGCCTTTCCAAATGAGACGTAGTCTTATATTCAGTTCTCAGTCAGCCTTAATATTTCTACTTTTTTCCCACTGGACTGACAGTTCCACCTGCCACCCTTTTCCTCAGTGACACACCCTCTTATTTGTCCTCTATAGGCAGAAGAAACACTAATCTGCGACAAACTTCCCCCCGCCATCCACAGGCATTTTGCCATCTCCTGCTTCAAACTAGCCAGAACACCATCTGCCCCCAAGAACCACTTCTAATGCATCAGGCTCATTTCCCTTTCAGACCCTGGTCCAGAGGACGTGGCCATCTAGTTAAAACTCAGAACATGAATCACTTCTTGACGACCAGATTCTATCTCCATGGAGGCTGAAGGGATGATGCTTCCCACATGCTCAAGCTATAACAACAGATCATCTGGGTTGTTTCCTCCCTCCTCCTTGTGTCATGTGGCTTTGCAAAAGGCATCAGTGTGAAGTCATAGCCAAAAATAGCATTTGACATTACAATGCTATAAAACATATGCTAATGAAATAACAATTGGAAAATATACTCCTGCAGCAGGACCCTTTGTCAGCCTGAATGGAGAGCTGGCAGAGACCCCAGATGTGGAGTATCTGGTTTTCTGCATCCCTGGCACAAACAGTTCTAGGAGGAAGAAAACAGTGGTCTGTTTTACCCCAGACAGGACTCAGGTGTGGAGTGCTTTAACAGGCTGACATGGCAGGGAGCCTGTGTGAGACCAGCACGGCAGCAACGTAAATAAAGCAAAGTTCACTGTACTTTCTGGGCCTCAATACTGCAAGGCTGATGGCAGCGACAGAGTGGGGAGGGAACACCACCAGTCTATGTGTCTCAGCTCTGGCAAGTCACAGTCAGGTAATTCAGCAAGGCCAAGGTCTGGAGCTGGCAGCAAAATAGAGCATGAAACAAATTAATAATCATCTACAGCCCAAGCCCATGAGGACTCAGGTCCATTCCCAAACACCACTGCCTGAAGCACCTCCGGTTATGTCCCATACCCAGACAGAGTCCAGTCCCTTTTCTACACTATTCATTTGCTTGACTTCAACCATCTCTCAATGAGAAATGATCCTGATGCACCATATCTCATAATGGTCCATTGAAAGGTTTTATAGCCTTCTCCTGGAGAGCAGGTACAGCGATTGGATCCTTGGATCCAATTGAATCCTTGTCTGATGCAGTTTGGAGGCTCCTGCCAGTCCAGAGACACAGGCATGTAGAGAAGCCCAGATCAATTCTTCTCCACCACATTTGTGCTTGTGCTTTAACACATCCATGCAAGCCCCATGTGCCCTGATGGGAGATGAGACCTCTGCTATGTGATGCATGACTGTCCCTCCTTATAGTTTATATGATGTTCTGTGCTGCTAATACAAATCAGGAACGCTCCTCCTGAAAAACTATTTTTTAGGGGCTACAAAGGAGCAAGCCAAATAAAATTAAATGCGCTCTCCTGTAGCTGTCGCTGCCAGGCAGCACCTGGAGATTTTAGTTTGTAATTGAAATGGTACAGTAAGTTCCAGCCCCTCTAAATATGCACGCCTGGAATATTGAAACTGGTGATAGTTAGCCAATTGCTTTCCAACAAAAATCCTAAATCATGATTCCTCGAGGGCTTGCTGCCACCGCGTGGCTCTTTTAGGAAGGCGATTTGCACCAATTGAGGCACAGGAAATACCTTTGCCAAGCACCTAATATCAGCCCATGTAGACTGTGATATAAACATACTTAATTTCAGATTTTAAGATCTGGGTTAAAATAATGCCCCATAATCACGCCAGGTCTTCCTAACCCACAGCATCCCTATGAAATTCATCTGTCTCCATAATGCAATTGCTCCACTGATCCCATCATCTTGACATCCACTTTGCCTCTATTAACTCATCTGCTGGAAGCTGGGTGTCATCTCCAGCGCCTTGTACAAATCTCCTCCCACCAACTTTGTTTCTTCATGGCCTGTATTGCTGATGTTCCCACAAACATGTCTGAGGGTTTTTTTCCCTACTGTTCCCTGAACATGGAGAATCCACCTTTCTTGGAAGCTGATACGTCCAGACACCTTCTTTTGTCTTGTAAATCATTCTTCCAGTTCTGAGGCTGGAAGGACATAGGTCAGTTGACGAGTCCTCTGGCTTTACCCCAAATGCTATGGTTGAGGGGCCGGAGGCTGTGACTGATCGTTTTCCTGGTGAGGTGGGCTTGGAAAAATGAACATTCAGTTAGACAAAGCAAAACATTTTGTTTGTGGTTCAAGATGTTTCTTTAAACTTCTTTTTAATGGTACAGAGCTAAATTTGCCTCATACTTCCTTTCAGAATAAATTATTAAGGTTTTTGTTTAGAAACAGTCGGAGCAGACTGTTTTTACATAATCCATTAGTGTTTTTCTGCAACTAGTGTTGGTACAGAAGTAGCCTGGGCCATGTTATCACTACATACTCAGTGAACAAAAGACTTTGGCAAGAAGATTTACCAGTCTCAACTCATAATTAAAGCCCTCTCATTTGCTGATGCAATTAAAGCAAGACAGAAGCAAGGCTGAATTAAAGCACCATCTAATCTGGGCACACAGTGATAAAGTCCTGCATCAGTTTCTCCTGCCTGACAAGCAGCAGCTCGCATTGCTCCTGCCCCTAATGTGGGTTTTCCCTACCTCAAATAAATGTTTTCAAGTTTGAGCACCTGGATACTTTTTTGGTTTTTCTTTCTCATTGAGCTGTTAACTGTTTCAGTATCTGCAAAACAAAGCTGCACCAGTTCAATTTGCATACAGTTGTAACTAAAAGAAACCATATTGTAGAGTTTAGAGGCTTGCCCAGAATGCAAAAACTATAAACTAAAGACCTAGGTCTCAATCAGGCTTGACAGCAACATATATTGTTGTTCCCTACACTCTAACTTTGTGTTCTTTTCCCATTTTTTTAATTCTGGACTCCTCTCAGAAAAAGTCTTCAGAACAGCAGCATCTGTTTCATTGCACTGACATTTTCTAACAGGTTTCATTGAAAAGAACCCTCCAGACACAGCTACATGTGCTCTCACTATCAGACAGAATCAGTCTATTACTTTCACCTGATTTGCAAAACCTCTGCTCACTTTCAACATCTCAAGCCTGAAAACAGAACCAAATTCTTCCTTGAAACTTAGCTGTCAAAGCCAGCTCACAACATGACACAGCTGTGCTTTGAGCTGTTTGAAAATTCACCCTTTTCACACCTAGCCCATAGAGAAACCATCTCTTTTTCCTCAGTCCAGGGCCTGTGGAAACACTGAATCACCATCAGTGATTTACCCAGCCACTGCAGGCTGGATTTGATCTGCTTTGTGTTTTCAAGATGAGTGTCTTCTGCTGACTGACACATTGCTGCATACTGTAACATGACTGCAATGGCATCAAATAGCCCAGAGACACCATTTGTTGTGTATGGTCATGTCTGTAATGCCTACTGGGGAATAGAAAGCCCATAATATTAACAGAAAAAACCCTAGTGATGTGTGCTATCAGCAAATGTTATCTAGTGGTGACAGTGAAATGATAATTCCCAGGATGATATCACAGTGCCAAAGGGCTGAGGCTTGTACACACAGCCTCGAGATCAATTTTTGTTATTCCAGCAGTGATGGATGCTGTTTAGCATTACCCTCTAAGCCACCATCACCACAGATAATGGACATACAAACAAAATGTGTTAGCTTTTTCGGGTAAAGGTGCTGACAAAAACAGGTGCCCCTGGCCCCCAAGGGGTGATTTTGCCCTCAGCAGCTACTCAGAGGTTGTAAATGTGCATGAGCACGGAGGGGCGGTGTTGAGCAGTTCATCAAAACCCAACATGATGCTCCCATATGCATTTAGCCCCCAGCCCATAACACACATGCTATTTTTCCCCTGCAGGAGGACTACAACCAGCTGAGACCCCTGTCCTACCCTAACACCGACGTCTTCTTGATCTGCTTCTCGGTGGTGAACCCCGCCTCGTATCACAACGTCCAGGAGGAGTGGGTGCCCGAGCTGAAAGTCTGCATGCCCAACGTGCCTTACGTCCTCATAGGAACACAGGTAATCCTTCTCTGGAGAGCTGCCAGCCATCTCAGGGGTCTTCAGAGTGAGGTGATTCCTACTCCACCCCAGGGGGTGGCTAGAGGCTGAGCTTTGTGGAAAGGTTTCCTATTTAACTTCTGATGTGAAAAGCAGCCAGATAAGAGGAAAACTCAGGGACTAAAATGGAAACCAACATGCAGATGTCCCATACTAGTCACAAGAGGCGAAACTCATTCATGTTTATTCAAATATTTATAAATGTGGCAACAAGGCATAAATGTCTATATGGAGAAAAGGTTTCTGACAGGCCTTTAGTGAGGAGAAAAAAAAACATCAGAGTTTGTGGTTAGAAGCAGAAGCTAAACTTCAAACTAACTTTTAAGAATGGGACTAATTATCCAAATGACTTACTTAGAGACATGGGAAGGAAATAGCCTCCCTTCAAGTTTTGATATCAACACTGCAATTAGTGACTCACTGTCCTGCTTGTGTTATTGTGGATGTTGGACAAAATGATCAAATCACTTTATTTTAGCTTTAAAATCTATAAATCTATCATCAATAAAAATAAATAAAATTTTTAAAAGCCTTAAATATGAGTTTGCCTCCAGGACACAGAGTGGCTAGAGACTGAGAAAAGTAGGGATATGACCATCTGGAAAACGTCTGAACACTGGACAGTAGCCTAAGCCAAGTTAGATAAAAAGAACAAACTCTAGTCAAAATGAAAATCTTCATGCCATAGGAAAGTCCAGTTGTTCTAACACTGGCTTTGTTTTCCACACTGGAGTAATATCTAAATCACCTATTTTGAAATAAAAGTATTGCCCTTTGGATCACACTCTCTGAAAATGGATGGGTTTGAAATGCCAGAATGCTTCACTTTCAGTTTTCCATGGAAATAAAGTATTTTGTTTCAAGTCAGTCAGACTGAGCTGTGTCTGTCTGGCCTGTTAGGATGTTTTTAGGGTGATGCAGTGCAAGAGCAGGCTCCTCTTCCAGTGTGTCTCAGACTTCCACCAATGTTTTTCAAGATGCCTTGTGAGAGCCACTGAGAACTGCATCTTGACTGTACTGCAGCTATCTGAGCTGTGGCCAAATAGCTTGCCAATAAGAACTAATTCACATTAAACAGAAAAAATAAAATAAAATAAAAATTAAAATAAAATAAAAAAAAAATAAAATATAAAATAAAATAAAAACTAAATTTAAAAAAAAAAAAACAAAATAAAATAACCCATAAACATGTGAGTTCATTTCCAAAGTATCATCTGAGATTATGACAGAAGCCCTTATGCAAGGATATGACTGTGAGTTTGTAAAGCTACGAGTATCTGTCTCAAGCATTAGAGCAAGGCAGTTCTAAGCTCAGGGTTTGTGTATTTTCTAACTAGATCGATCTTCGGGATGATCCCAAAACTTTGGCTCGGCTGCTTTACATGAAGGAGAAACCACTCACCTACGAGCATGGAGTGAAGCTAGCAAAGGAGGTAACAGCTTTTTCTGGGCTCCCATGATAACAACTGATTACAGCTTTTGATGGGTTTTTTTGTTAAAGGTGAACTCCTCTGGGGCAGCCAGAGATTAAAGCCTCTGTTCAAATAGGCTGGATCCAGACACAGGATGTGTTCTGAGCCTGCTGTTCTGTTGTGATACTCAGTTGAGCTCTAAGCAAAGCAACAAGGTATAGCAGTGGCAAAGGGGCAGCAAAACAGATTTTACTGCCTACTCTACCTAAGTCAAGTTTCTTGCTCAGGCTTCAGGCAGGATGTGTGTGCGGCAAACCCCTTCCTGTGGTCACTTCTTGCCAAACTTTTCCCTACCCCTTACAAAGCACAGACAGCTTGATTCTCACTTAGCCACTGCATTCCAAGCAGCAGAGAAAGAGCTCTCAAGGTGTGTGTGCTATTACACCTTTTCACAGGGAAGGTAGGGGGATTAAAAACCCTTCTCAATCCCTGAAATACAGGCATTTAGACCCCAGCCTTTTCCACCTTATACACTGCTGTTGCTCTTACAGGCTCTGGCCCACAAAGGCCAGCAAGGGCATCCACTAGCAGAGTAAGCTGAATAAGGAACAAGGTTGCTGAATAAATTGAGTCTGCTTTCCCAGGCCACTCTGTGTGCTTGTGTCATACCAGCACTCCAGGAGACTCCCATCTCAAGACAATGGTTCGCAATTCCCAGAAACCAGATAGAAGCCTTTCCCCAGGGAACAGCTCCCTGATATTGCAGGAGGCAGAACAGAAGAGCGACAGGTCAGGGGAGAAGAGCCAAGTGTATGAAGGGGTTCAGCTAACAACCCAGCATTTCCTTGAAACCCTCCCCAACTGCACAGATGGGAGGCCAAGCTCCTGGTCCAGCACTCAGACATGGGTGCATCTCCCCTCTCTCTGGAGGGTCATGCAGAGAAATCCTGCTGCACATTAACACCCTGTGGTGAGATAGTGATGTTGATGTTCATCCCTCAGGATGAACACCTGAGCTTGTTCCTTAATCCCACAGGCAGACGGATACAAAATAGAGCAATTATACGACCCCCTTTCTAAAGGTCTGGGCTTCCCTTTGTGGCAAGACACATATGAACGTAAATGGATGATGGAACAGGGTCACTCTGTCTCTCCCAGCAGCGGGTACACACATTTTCTCTGCTCTCTTTCAGATTGGAGCACAATGTTATCTGGAGTGCTCAGCCCTCACACAGAAAGGCCTTAAGACTGTCTTCGATGAGGCAATCCTGACCATTTTCCATCCCAAGAAGAAGAAGAAGCATTGTGCAAAGTGCCATAGGTGCTGCATCCTTGTGTGAAGTCACTTGGAAAGAAAAGAGAGATGAGTTCAATTGAAACAAAGGTTAGAAAGGCAATGAAGGTCACATGAAACTGAAATGCAGAACATGACCAGAAAGGGGTCTTTCTTTACCCAAATATAGGAGCCCTCTGTTCTGTGAAACCTCCAAGTTGAATCACACTAGGCCAACTCATGTCTATGTGCTTTCCTAACCCTCCAGAGCTGTACGCAGCCTGCTCCCACCACTGCAGACTGCACTGAGCCAACAGAAACCAGGGTGCCTGCTCCTGCTTGACTCTTCAATTTAGGAATAAGGTGAAGGTGGCATGTGGAAAAAAAGTTCTAAAGGTGGTGAAAGAAACAAGAGAAACTCCATTTCTGGCCTTAAGCAAGAATCAATCAAAATTAGGAATTTGCAGTACTTAGGGATTGAATCTGAATTGACTGAAAGCACATGATCTGTAGAAATCTAATATGTAAGATATACACTATAGGTAGGGTGTACTTTTTAACTACTTTTCTTTTATAAGACCCACTAGTTCAGGATATGCTTTAGTTTGTTCAAATCGCATGGAAGCAAAAGTGGAGCGATTCCAATTTGTTTTCACTTAATGGTGAAACCTCACAGCATCAGAATGTTGCTGCACCCAAGCAATCAAAATGGATCAACATTTACCTCCAGACTTAAGGAATGTTCTTATAACAAAAAAAAATGCAAATAACTGTATTTTTACAGGGGAATGTTCAGGCTGAGCCATGTTTCCATAAGCTGGGAAAGGAAGAACAGAGTTGTAGCATTAATGTACTGAAACAAAGAAAGTCTACCACCAAAGAATATAGCCCTGGACATGAAATAGCAGCATGGAACCATCTCCCTTCCAAACTGAGAACACGAATGAGACACATTGCCATGGCAACTGAAAATTTACCTTATAGATCAGCTGGGTTTCTACATCTCACCCAGCAGACAAGAACAGCAAAAGCCAAAATGCCAAAGGTCATGCTGACTTCAAGTGCTTTAAGGTGATCCAAATGCCTTAAGATTTTTTTTTCTTTTAATGGAGTATCTCATGTAAAAAAACCTATCAAAGTTGAGATGTAAACATGTTGATTTATTGTAGCCTTCTTCCCCCCATTCATTACTTCCTTCTTTGCTCCCATTTTTCCATCTTCATTACTGTGGGTGCTGTTTAAGTTGCAGCCCGGCTGCAGTCAGCAGGAGGGAACTTTCACAAAAGTCACAGCTGACAGCACAGAGATGGGATGTCCAGACCTTAAGGGAAGGGAAGCTGCCTGTTAGCTCTCTTTGCTGTTGAAGAAAGTGTGCCTTTTCAATAAAGCCTCTCCAGGGAGGCTGTACATACCGCAGCAACACAGACGCTCAGAAGTGAGCTTGACGGAAGTCTTGTTACTTGCATCTGCCTTCAGGTACCCTGGCAATACCATGAGACTGTCTTGTTACGTATTCCATTCCCCAAGCAGAAAACCACAGCGCCAGCAAATGCAGATTTGAAAACCTCTGATGTAACTTCTTGCAAAGGCAATGCCTGTAGTTTCAGGAGTGCTGTAGCAGTAAGCAAGTAACAGCAGTGCACCTTCCTAGCCTTGGGGCATTCCCCCACACCCCACTCCAGGGGACTGCCGGTCCACTCCTCCTCAGAAGCACAGTAGCATGGCTGAGCACACGCATGCAACCAGAAGAACTCGTGTGATTAGTGGTGAATTATAGACTCACTGTTACTTGGAGCAATTAGTGACTTCAGCAGAACTGTAGGAACTGCATCCTTGCCACAGAGAAGGGAACAGGCATGATGCAGTGCCCAGTCCTGCAGCCATCAAGGATTATGAATCCAAGCTCCTTTAGCACAAATTCACTTTACCATGGACACCTACAGAAACCACCTCTGACACCCAGAGATGTTTCCAGGTAGAAATCAACGGTTTTCTCTGACCAAAGTGATCAAATTCAAGGCAAGCGCATTGTTGCCATTACCCAGCCAACTTTCACTCACCATCTCCTTCTTGCAGCACACAAGCATGGATGAAAACAACATTATGCTAAATCAAAGACAGACAAAAGAAAGATTTCCTCACTGCTGTCATTCTTTGCTCCTGTTTTACATTTTGTTTTATTATGTCCCAGACATTTGCTTCAAATGAACTGGCTGACAAAGCACAGCTCAGAGTGAGGACAGTGCTGAAGCCTGGTGAAGGAGTTCATGTCATGCCGCAGAGGCTGTGTTGCCATCCCCAGGCAGAGCAGTGAGTATTTGCATGGCTGGGAGACTGGCAATCAGCTGAACTATAATGTGTAAAGAGATAGTAGGGGAGTATGTGGAAAATTAGGAGTGGATTCAATCTATAAATATTTAGGTAATGTTTGTTGTGTTACAACATAACTAGAAGTCCACTGAAACAAAAAGAAAAACCTTTCAACAGATTTCAGAGAAAATTGGAGCTTTGTTGTGCAGCCATTTACTTCAGTGGAAATAAAATGGGATGATTACTTTGTTTTAGCTCATGTAGGTTGCTGTAGAGCGCTAGCCTATATACAAGTCTCTGGTTAAAGTAAGTGAAGTCTGTTTTAGCTGAAGCACAATGCAAACATTCAGGTTGGAGCTGCCAGAAACTCTTAGAGCTTTACAAAATACATAGGAAATAGAAATCCAGACTGACAGCTGAGCTTATCATAAAATAATGAGCACACTGGAAAAGTGCAATCTAGCATTCCCAGCATACCCAGAGAAAGCCACAAATAATCAAATGATATTTTTGTTTGCCACCAAATATCAGGGGTGTCTGTTAATACTAATAGGATGGCATGGGATATGAATATACAATAAAAAAACAAATAGGAATTTGTAGCATTAATGTAACTGCAGTGGCTCAAGGAAAACCAATTTAAAAACACACGGTGATGTAGAAGCTAAAATGGTACTGTCCTAATGTATTAAACCACAGCACCCTGCCCAAATCATTGCAACTCTGTTTGAAACTATAGTTTTTAAAATAAATATTTTTAAAATAGCTATGGTTAATTCAGACCCCATAAACATTATTGCTGTATTAGATTATGTAGATACACTTACCCATGCAATGTTGATCCTTACTCAAGGATCTGCCCTCTTATGCTTATTATTTTGGGGAGGCAGGAATAGCACAGGCCAATAGCTTTTAAAAAGGGATTGTAGGCAGATGGAAGGAGACTCATTGACTCTCTGGCAAGTCCTACCTAATACCTTTTCTAAAAGCCAACAGATGGTGCATGAAGAGGCAGCAAAGCTTATTTTCAGAAATATCACAACACCAGACACAGTGCAAGCACAGGCATAAGGCAGCAGATATAAACTTCAAGTTATTTTCAAGCACCATTAGTAACAAGAAAAGAAAATCAATAAATGATTGCCAGGTGAAAGGAGATAGGCTTGCTCAGTGTAAGATGAGCTAGAAACCAAACCCCAATTTCACCTTCAAAGGAGCACTCTTAGGAGAGTCATAGAGGCTATAAACTGTGGGGAGTGAAGGCGGTAAGATTTGCATGAAAAAGTCTGGGAATGAGCTCTGAGGCCTTGATGAGTTGGAATGTTGAAAGACAAGAAAGGTAAACAAGCAAGCCTTGGGGGATAGGCCGGGATGTTGTTGTGGCGGGGAGATTCACATGCTGAAACAATTGAAACGCCCCAATCTGGTGAACATGATGGAAGTGTTCAGGAGGAAAAATTCAGTTCAGTTAGAACTGGACTTCCTATGGCATGAAGATTTTAATTTTGACTAGAGTAGACCTTGCTCTTTTCATCTAACATGGCTTAGGTTACTGCCCAGTGTTCAGACTTTTTCCAGCTCATGGAGAACTGTGTGGTCACAGTATTTGAAGACCAGATGCAGCCTGCGCTTCCTCCTGAACACTTCCAGCAGGTTCACCAGATTGGGGTGTTTCAGTTGCTTCAGCATGCAGAGCTCCTCCGCCACAGCAACATCCTGGCCTATCCCCCAAGCTTGCTTGTTTACCTTTCCTGTCTTTCAACATTCCAACTTATCACCCCAGGGCTTGTTAAGCATCAAGGCCTCAGAGCTGATTCCCAGACTGCTTTTCATGCAAAGCTTACCGCCTTCACTCCCCACAATAAGCCATCCCTGCAACCTGTTTGACAAAGTCCTCTTCACGCAGCCAATGTCAAAACCTTTCTTGACAGACTTGCCTGTGATAATAGTCTGCTATCATTTCAAAAGCACTTACTGGATCTGCTAGATCCTGTAAAATCCAACTCCTTTGTCCTCATCTGAAACCTTAATGTTCTACCAGGAACTGTTAACCTGAAACCGTAGTTTCAGAGTTCCCAAGGGGTTTTCACGCAAACTCTTGCAAGGATATAATGGAGATACCAGGTATTAGAGAGAGATCTCCAGACATTACAGAGTTGTTATCACATTAAAGCAACCTACAGATGCCTCTGCCCTTCAGAGCACTGCTAAAACAACAAGCCAGTGGAACTGGAGCAACCAGTTCCAGCATGATATGAATGAGGTACCACAAATACTTCCACAAAAAAAAAACGGGGAGAACCCCATGCAGATCCATCTAGGAGCATTTGTTCAACCAGGTATAAGTCTAGCAGATGTAACTTCACCACTCAAGCTGCCATGTCCTTACAAAAGCCCCTCTAATCCCGTCTTTTTCCATAGCTTACTTATGGTCCATCACCTTTTCTGTAGTTTTTTTCCCCCACGTGGCATAGTAAATACCTCTTGATTCACCATACTGAAACTTTATCTGGATTAAAAATAAATTGCAGTGGCATCAACCAAGTCAGGTTTGTTTAGAAGCACATTTTTCTTCTCCAGCAAAGCAATCAACATATGCTCATGTTGGCCCAGAGACCATTCGTTCAGTAAACAGGTTGCATGCAGGAATCTGCCTGCACATGCCTTTCTCCCTAAATTTTCCTTCTCCCTGAAGAGGGTTTGTAATGTGTTTTATCCTACATAAGAAAGCAAATCCGGAAATCACAGAACATTTTCTTGGTTCACAACTTTCTAGGACGGGGGGAGCATCTGTTGTGACAGGATGTGAGCATGGAGCAAACTATGTCAGATAACTTCTAGACACATTTGACCTTTGATGGTTGACACATTTGACATTTGTAAAACTGAAAATGAATCTCTACTATAAATGTTATTTTACTCTTAGTGAATAAAGGCCCTCTGAAAGCAGGAAAAAGCCTCCACTCTTTTTGGTAGTGGCTTGTGATCTCAGCTGTCTTCACTTATCAAAACAAAAATATGAATAGAAGTATTTTTGAATCAGGAAGTGAGACAAAACCAATTAGATGCAAAGAGTGCAATAGAATGGCATCTGCACTTCTGCTTTGGGGGAGAGATGCAAAATCAGGGCCTGGAGCTGCAATTAGTCAGTTTGATCCTAAAATTTAAATTTCATTTTAAATGTTAAGGGATGCTCACAATTAGGATGAAAAAATCCTCAAATACTCTTTTCTTTGTTTCAGTTAAAGCTGTCAGAAACATGTGAACAAGAATCTATATTTCCTGGGCAGTTCCAGGAACCCCAGTAGAACAGCAAAAAGAGTCAGAACCTCATTGTCAGAGAAAAATGAGCTCACAAACCCTTCTATCACAGAGCAACAACCAAAAATCATATGAATTGCTGTCAATGGTGAAAAATCTCTTTACCTTTGAAAATATGTTAACAGAAATAACTTTGAACATGATTCCCACCCCCTCTGAGAATGTGCAGACTGTAATGCAGTGTTTGGCTGCTTCTCCTAACTATAATTTTAGGGTGGGACTTTCAAAGATTCTGTATGTTGGCTTTGTTTCAATTCTCATAATGACAACAGAAAATTTCAATAGGGTCCGCACATGACTAATGCAGAAAGCATCTGAGTCTTTCCTCCTTTTCTGCCCTTTACTGTTGCTGACCAAGCTTTGAGCACACAGATATGCTGAGCCAGGTCCAAGAACCTTTCATACCTTTTGGAGGTTGTGGACTCCTGAAAGAAGTCAGGCATCTGGAGACTTTGCTGGTCTGATCTTCAGCTTGAGCTTTGGAGACTGGATTTGTAACTCTTCTTTTCAACCATTACCGAGGCTGAAGATGAAAATGATGATAGTAACAGTGCAATCTTCAAGACAAATGGTATCTATCTTTTCTTAGTTTGATACAGCACTAATTGCTGTCATTTAACTTCATCTTTTCCCATTCAGGATGCCAAATTTAATTTTGC